GGGTGGGGGGGGGGGGGGGGGGAATGTTAAATTGGGGACTTAAAATGTAGCCGTGTTCTTCTACCTGGGAAATGTGGCATTGTTTGCTTCTGGATGACTCTATTTTAAGACTATCGGAGGACCACAAGTATGTCTTGTAGTATATGTATTCACTCTCTTCTTTGGCCTGAAGAGAAGGGCAGGGAGAAGCAAGGGGTATTAAAATTCAGGTATGTGTCTTCTTGACCCAGTTGGTGAAACTTGTGACCACTTGCTGTAATTGAATTGAATGCATCAACCTATCCAAGCAAAATGATCCCCAATCAGCAAGTTGGCTGCCTGGCAGTAGTTTTGTTTTTGTTTGGTTGGGGGGCTTTCTTTTAACAAAAAAAAAAAAAAAAATCTGTATAATGCCTTGTTCTTTGACTTCCAATACCCCCCACGCCTGCAGGGCAAGCTGGTTGGAATGGGCATACTGTACTTGCCTTACTTATGGTTCCAGGTGGAAAAGCAGTTGATACTGCTACCACTTGCCATGCCTCCAAACTTTGGGATTATGTGGTCAACCCTGCTGGCCAGGTTTGGCTCTGCAAGCTAGGTGATTTTTGTTAGTCAGCTCTGCTCTAGATCAGCATTCTCTCAACCCATGGGTCGCAACCCAAAACTGGGTTGCAAGAATGTAGGAAAGGGTTGCAAACAAACTTTAAAAATGGATTCTCCTCTAAAGGAGGAAAGCAGGGAAACAGTGGCTTATCCCTTGCAGGCTGGCAGAGTTCCAGGTTGGAGGGGAGGGGGCCTACCCTGTGGAAGGTGGGGAGAAGCAGGCCAGGAGCAAGGGGCACTGGGTTGGGACTGGCTGCTAATGTTTACAAATGGGTGCTGGTACAAAAAAGGTTGAGAACCACTGCTCTAGATTTGCTTACTGTCACAGACAGTTGGTGCAAAACCAGAAACGGTGCCCAGGTGTCCTTGCCTTCTGTATCTGCAAGTTTTTTTTGAAGCAGTAGGGTATGCTTCCTTCTCTTAAGGTATTGTACAAGCACAAAAAAGAGAGAGAAAGTAATCATCTCTCTCTTCTTTGGGAGGGGGGGAAAAAGCCAAAAACTGATTTAAATAGACTTAACTGAAAATAGCATCTGCTGGGTCCTAATCTCTCTCGCTCTCCCCCAGGGGGAATGGAAGCTGCTTTATATGGTGGGGGAGGCAGTAAGAGCATCGGAGTTTCTCCTAAAAGATTATAGCAAGTTGAGGCCAACAGCTAGTCAGTATGCTGTGCAGCACAAAAAGTGACCTAATGGTAGCATGAGTGGGTGTTCTTCAGCTGTGTTGTTTGCTTACTTCCCATGAGACTTGTGAGCAAACAGAGGCATCCCAGATGGTCAGGAGAAGAAAATTTGTATTTATATTTTCCATGCTAATGTTTCACAAAGTGAAGTGTTCAGAGGAGAGGCCAAGAATCGACCTGGACATGACTCTTCTGAACTCTGGTGTGTGTGAACTTTGGTACATCCATGGAATTACTAATAAATCTGATCTTAAAGTACACTTGAAAGATATGAAATCTATGGTACTTTGAATGTTTGGCATACGTCATCCTATGATGCATCTCATGTAAAACCCATCATTAGTGGCCTTTGTTATACATGCCATAGGCCAAAGATAGTTCCATGGGGCTATGCAAGACATGAAAATACACTGTTATTAACTAGGAGGGAGAAATGTTTCAAGTAGCCTGGCCACAGGTGCTGTAATTACTCTGCACACAAGCTTGTGTAAGTTACGCTAATGGAAAGCAATTAAGAGGCTAGACTTGCTTGTCTGGTTGCTACATGCAGGGCTACTCCAGGTTGTATTCTGAACATGGCAGTTTGTATGTGTGGGTTTTAAGCTTGGTCAGGGTGCTCCACCTGTATCTTGTCCAGAGATGACTACTGTCTGTAAGAGAAACTAGTCATGTCTTTACTTACAACAGTGTTAGTGTCTGGGGGAAGCACAAGTGTTGAGGTCCAGGTTTGTGGAGAAGAGGCAAATGATGATTTTTCTAGCATCCTGTTTAACTGGATTTTAGTGTACACCAGTAAGTCTGTTCAACCTGTAGTGCAATACTAGCCCTCTGCCAGTTTGGCCTCAGTGGGTACACGCTTAGTTGCTGCACAGTAACTGAAATTACTGCATAGTACAAGTAGTGTCTACACAGTAAATATGATGACTTACACTGACTTGGGTGTAAGTTTTGATACCTGCATGATGCAGGTATCAAACTTTTGCCCAATTCAGTTACTGCACAGTATCTCACATGTAGATGCCTCACTGTGCAGTAACGCTGTGGACTGACTTGAACTTTAGTCCTAAGTCGGTCCACAGCATTACTGCACTTGTAATGCCTGCATGTGTAGACACTGGCCTAAACCAGTTTGCTGTGCAGTAACCTTTAATGCAAAGTAAATGCCTTCCCCTCTTCCCATGTGTATCTCTGTTCTTCCACCCCCTACAGGCTATGACTTTGCAGCTGTCTTGGAGTGGTTTGCAGAGCGGGTCGACCGCATCATTCTCCTCTTTGACGCCCACAAGCTGGACATTTCGGATGAGTTCTCAGAGGTCATCAAGGCCCTGAAGAACCATGAGGACAAGATGAGGGTGGTGCTCAACAAGGCTGACCAAATTGAGACCCAGCAGTTGATGCGGGTGTATGGTGCCCTCATGTGGTCCCTGGGGAAAATTGTCAACACACCGGAGGTGATCAGGGTCTATATTGGCTCCTTCTGGTCCCACCCGCTGCTCATCCCTGACAACCGCAAGCTGTTTGAAGCAGAGGAGCAGGACCTGTTCAGGGATATTCAAAGCTTACCCCGCAATGCAGCCCTGCGAAAGCTGAATGATCTCATCAAGCGTGCACGGCTAGCCCAGGGGGGTAGCCTTGGGGGTTTTTGTAGCGTTTAGTAGGTGGAGGACAGGTCTTGGCCGTTCCACCTCTCTGAGCTGGTGGCTCATATCCACTGCACATTATGTTCTGCTGGATGTTGGTATGTTCATTGCCAGCCCATGATGAAAAATAATGCCCAGGTGATCCTCATCCCTGTGATCCTGTGGAGGCATAGAATGAAACAAAACCATCAACAATATTACCAATATATCTCCAAGTACACCTAAGGGTTATAAGTCTAAATATTTACCATTCCTCACTGTAGCAGATCAATCGGTGCACAAATGAAAATGGCATGTATTTATACTGCAGCGGTAATCGGCAAAGATGGGTAGGGAGAAATAACTGTTCTAAGGAATAGAAAGGAAAAATAGAAAAAAATATTTTGCATTTAACTGTAGATGTATGTGTACCATCTATTGACAGTAAGGCTTAGATAATCCTGCTAACACTCTTCCTATTTCTGTCTCTTGGGATGCCCCTCAGGTCCATGCCTACATCATTAGCTCCCTAAAGAAGGAAATGCCCTCGGTGTTTGGTAAAGACAACAAAAAGAAGGAGCTTGTGAACAATTTGGGGGAGATTTATGCCCGGATTGAACGGGAGCACCAGATCTCACCAGGAGATTTCCCAAACCTGAGAAAGATGCAGGTAAGCACAAGATGAACCAGGCTAGAGCACTGAACAATGAAGGCAAGAGCACTACAGCAGCTGTGAGTAGGTCAAAAACAATGCTCAACTTGTGCTGCTGCAAGTGTGAAGGGATACTAGTAATACAGATGCAAACATTCTGTTGTATTCTGTCTGGGCTGTATCTGGACATCAAAACTCCTGCAATGGCAGATGGAAAATGCCTTCACTTCTGGAGTCTGACACAACCTCTCTATACTAGTTATTTAGCTCCTTGTGTCACTTATTCTAGGCCTTGGGTTTACAACTTTCACTGCCTCATCAGTACATGTAACATCTCCAACAATCTCTTGTAAAACAAGGGCAGTTCTTGCCCACATACCCTAGAGGCTAAACCTTTGCACTCTTCCTTCACACTTTCTTTGCAAGGAAAAAAAAGATTATGAGCCAGAAAGCTGACATGAAGTGTGTCTCTCTCTTTCTCAAAAAAAGAGAAGCACATTTGCTGTGCTACACCCAGAGGACCTGATGTAATGTCCATTTTAAGTCGACAGACCAGCATTGGATCAGGGTCTTGAATATGCTAACAGGCAGTGATATGAACAGATCCAGCATTGGCTTCCATCCAGGCAGCCTGTTTCCAATTACTGCACTGTTGAAGTCATTAACAGATATCCACAGGGCAGATAGGAGGAGTTCCTTCTCTTTTTAAGAGCACAGCAGGTTTCAAGTCCTTGAGAGCATGGCCTTGTAGAGTGGACCTTTTAGAAGTTCAAGTTCATTAGCTATTAAGATGTGAATGTTATGCCACTTTCTCTTTGCTGTAAATGGACACTTTTAATAAGTAGAGGCTGTAGGTTAATCACCTGCTCAGTAGAGGGTGAAGTTGTAATACTTGCTCTAAAGACTTTTTACTTGCTGTGGAAAATTAGGCACTCTGTCATACCAGGTAAGACTAAGACCAGAATCCTAGTGGAGAGACCGCAGTCCCATCCAACTAGGTACTCAGTCCCTTGTGCAGTGTGGGAATATTCCTGCCTTATCCATGTGGGTAAGCAGCTCGTGCCCTAATTTATAGAAGAGAGAATGAAATCAATAGGTACCCCTAGGTACTCTAAGTTAGCAATGTGTGCAAAAGGCTTGCTGCTGAAATACGGTAACACTACAGTTGTTTCTGAAACTGTGAGGTAGGCTGAATTTCTGTTGGTGTCTTTTGCTTTTATTTTGTTTTTTGGTACTGTGGAATAATACACTTCAAGATGAGAGGAGAGCAACCTATTTTCACACGGTAGCAGGGAATAGTGCACTCCATAGTAGATGCCATAAAATACCATTGTCGTTTTATGTCTGGGAGACCTGTGGCTTGTGAGGGTGAAAGCTACTACCATATCAGTAAAAAGCTCTGACCTCCCTTTTTGGACCACGGAGCATCAGGGATACAAGTCTAGAGCATGTGGCAAAAGCAGTGTTGTGATGTGTGGTGGCTCATGGGTAAACATGTGCTGAACAGTTTGAAGTCTATGGCAGAGATGCGGTCTATAGAGTGCTGTTACTGTGTCCCTTTCTGTTCTGCATGCCAAGGCTAAGTTGCATTCATGCTCACTGATGTTATTGTTCTTCTTTAAGGACCAGCTGCAGGCTCAAGACTTCAGCAAGTTCCAGCCGCTGAAAAGCAAACTTCTAGAGACAGTGGAAGACATGCTGGCAAATGACATTGCACAGCTCATGGTGCTGGTACGCCAGGAAGAGTCCCAAAGACCTGTCCAGATGGTGAAGGGAGGAGCCTTTGAAGGCACCTTGCATGGTCCATTTGGACATGGCTATGGGGAAGGAGCAGGAGAAGGAATCGATGATGCAGAATGGGTGGTAGCCAGGGACAAGCCCATGTATGATGAGATCTTTTACACTCTCTCACCTGTTGATGGTAAAATCACTGGGGCCAATGCCAAGAAGGAGATGGTGAGGTCCAAGCTGCCTAACACTGTGCTGGGCAAGATATGGAAACTGGCTGACATCGACAAGGACGGGATGCTGGATGATGAAGAGTTTGCCTTGGCCAATCATCTCATAAAGGTCAAGTTGGAGGGTCATGAGCTCCCGAATGAGCTTCCCTCCCATCTCCTCCCTCCTTCCAAGAGAAAACTAACAGAGTGAAGGAGAGGTTACCAGAGCAAGAGGGGAGGGGGAAAAAGGGAGGTCCAGAGACACAAAGTTTACTTAAATTATACTGCTAGATGTGAAATCACCTTTGGATTTATAATGTTGTTCATGTATAAAGGAAAACCTAAAGTAAAACAAAAGCTCAACCCTTTCTCATGATGATATGCAATTAACTCTTCCTGTGTCCATATCCTTGCTTCCTAATGTGTAGTTTTATACAGATGAAGGAAAGGAAAGAGGTAGTGGAAGAAGCTGGTGAATCTGGGTAGAGGGAAGAACTAAATGGGTTGTCTTCCAAGACTGGGTTGGATTAGGCACAAACATTCAGAGGATAATCTCCAGCCGTTCCTGACCTTCATCTGTTTCTTGTGGTGTTTGAATTGGTCTCTGCCATGTTCTAGGATTTGCAAAATTCCTGTTAGTAAAGGAGAAGCCACATACAGGTCCCCAAGCTGTGGATCAAAGAAAATGGCACTTCATAATTAAGTGAGCCAATGCCAAATCTCCAGATACAAGCACCCATGACCAATGCAGATGTCTAAAACTTCAACCTGCTTCTAGATCTGAGTTTTACAAGTAGTCCCTGTCTCTCTGATGGGCTGAACCAAAAGAGCAGATCAGAACTTACCCAAATATATAGGTGCTTTAGGAATCTTGATCTGAATGTGACAGCTAGAATTCTCCAGTTACTGGTGGGAAAAGTCTTTAGAACTACTGAGCACCTCTCTCCCATGGACTCCAGTGGGAGTCTTACTCTCAGGGCATGACTAAGCAAATACTAATATAGCCAAAAGGAAAACTTGAGAGGACAGGACAAAGGTATTCCCTACATTAGTTTGAATCTTTTTAAGAGGCAGATATCAGATTCTCCAGAAGGGAGGAATTTCCTTGGCTTCACCACCCACACACAATACATGGGGATGAGCTTATTGGGCATGGATAACCTTTCTCCTGCCTGTAAAGTGACCAGTTTCCCTTTCATTGCAGAAGTATGTATAGTGCATACTACATGCCTGTGTTCTTATCTTAAATGTAACCCCACACTCTCAGATGAATGGTCTGTTACTGAGAGAATGTGTGCTTGTGAGCAATATCCCTTGCGCATTTCCCAAATGATTAATCTTTATCCTATCTAGAATCTGTCTTGAGCCAAGAAAAATGTTCAGTGTTTTACTTCATTCTCTATAGAATTTCTGTTTTTCCTGGGTGTGTAGTTCAGCAAAAATTCCTCAATTTCAGATTTGTTTCCTCCCCTAACCTCTTACCTTTTTTTCTTGTTTGGGTCTGGGTATGGTTCCTATTCTTGTTGTCACTTTATAGATATGCTGAGCTCCTACTGTGATGGAAAAAACCAAGATAAGTATAACTTATTTTAGATCTCTGTGTTCATACTATATAGAAAACTATATTCCATGTATGTAGGATGTGCTGATGGCAGTTCATTAATCACTTGTCTTTTTAAAAAAAAAAAAAAAAAAGCATTACCTTTTTTTTTGTTTGTTTTTTGTACCCTGGTCCTAAAACATTATTAAAGACAGATCTATTTCCTTTTCCTTCTCTTTGACATTGCAGAATGAAATATTGATGGCTTTCACTGTCTCTCTGCATGTGAGCACAACACAAAGCACTGCATCCCAGGCACCTTCTACTGATTTTATATATAGGTCAATCTTATTTGGTCTCCTATTGGAGGATGATCGGTTAAATACCTGCATTAAAATCTCTTGCTGTTTCTAGGACTCTAATCATAAACCCCTATTTTAATTTCACTGGTGTCATTTGGAATGGCACTTCCTATTTATTAAAACTGCATTCATCTGAAGTTAAAATCAAAACTACTCCTATTTAGGTCACTAGGAACTTTTCTTGGTTACTTTTGCCCTCAACTGCAGTAGAAGCAAGTACTTTCCTTTCTCCTAGCCTTTGCCAGAAACCCCATCTGTTCATCAAGATCTGAACTGCACGAAACCATATTTTCCAGCTCCCTCTCAAACTCTTGCTCTGACCCTGATGTAGTTTTTCACCTCGGCACCGGAGAGAGGCAAACTGAGTGGTGGTGTAATGTTGTCAAATATGTGACTGAGCACCAAGGTGGAACAGATTTTGCATTTAGTGGTTGTGCTGGATGACGTGATCACAGAGAGGGGGCCAGCCTTGTGAAGTGGACACTAAAAATGCAACCACCATTAAAAGATAAAGAGGCTCTTTACTAACTGAGTCCATTCTCTTCCAAATAGTATCAGTTCTGACTCAATATACCACATGAGTGCAAGTTACTGAAATTATCCCAGGTTCTCTCATGGAATTTGTCTTTAACAATCTCAATAGGGCTGAAATAAGACCTGGCTGGAAAAATGAAGAGACCACCTTCTGTCACTCCTTATTAACATGTCCACCCTTTTCCTAGGTTCAGAAACTGAATAACTGGCTACAGACACTGGAGGTCTTGTAGTGAAACTGTGACATGGTAAATGTTAACAGGAAAAAAAAAAAAAAGAAAGAGACCCTTCCCAACATCAAAGTGTTGGGGGTCATCCCTATCTTGGTATACACTTCCACTAGCAACAATACAGAGGTTGGTCCTATAGTTTGTTCCAGAAATACAGAGCCCTTAGACTACATCAGTTCAGCCCAGGTTCATACTCACAAAAAACATGCAGCAGTGCCAGGTCTTCAAGTGTCCATATTAAATCAGTCTGTGGTTACAGTCTATACCACAAAACCCTACCACTCTCTCATGCTTATCAGGGCTTCTCTAGACCTTCAGTTGAAGGTATGATGAGATCTGAAGCATAATCCACACAATTGCATCTCCTGCCATGCCACACATGCATGGCAGGAGTTGTGGTTATAGGATACAGCACAAGAGCCAATCACATGTTATTGCTGATGATGCAGGAGGAGCCTGGGACCACCATCCAGCATCCCCCCTGTACCAGCAAGTAGCAAGCTCCTACAGCTGTGACTCCTGCAGCTGATGAGATTCACAGCCCCACACACTGCTGTGCAGGGTTCCCAGGCACCTCATAAGACTCAGCTGCAGCTGTGTCCCACATGATGCTGTGACTGGGAGTCCCATCAGCTGCAGGGCTCCCAGCCCAAGCGTATGGTGCACCCCTGTGGCTGGGACTCCATCACAGGGGCATACCTTGCTACATGTGCAAATTACAGCTGGATAGAAACCAGCTATTTTCCAGCTCTAACTTTGTAGTTGTTCGAACCTTTTATGGCACGATAGATTCTTTGCACCTGTAGCAGGTCAAAATAAATTGTGTGATTAACCAGTTAATTGCGTAAAACATGTAACATGTAGAGAGGGCTTCCATCTTAAACAGAGGCTGACAACTGAACAGATGAGAGCCAGAGTCCTCCATTACTCCTAGAGATTCTCTCTCCCATATACCAGCTACAAGGTGTTTGGCACTACTGCTGCCCATGCTGTTCATATGCTATGGAGTCAGGCTCTATGATGGTCAATCTGGTGTCCTTCATCATGCTGACAAAAGAGTTCAGCACCCTTATGGGTACACAGCACAATACAGGAAGTTGTGCCTCTTTCACATTTACTCAAGAACTGTTTTGCTTTGTTAAATTGTAACTTCCTAGGCCACTTTAGAGAGTTAAAGCTAAATAAACGTGAGTTTTGTTGCTTAGAAATCTGATTTGTAGTGCATCAAGACTTAGTAACAAACAGAGCGCTCCCATCACTCATCGGAAATGAGATGATATTAAAGGTTATGATGCCAAACAAGCAATTTACCAATAAAATCATCCATATTCAAATAATAATGCTAATAAATTATCTGTATATAGTGCATTTAATCCTTATGGATCCCAGAGTGCAGATATGAGACTTATGAGAATTATGAGACAGATAAAAGCCTCAGGAGGAGAGAAAGTCCCTAGGCTCCTTATGCTCACATAAACAAAGTGTATAGAGACCTTCTCTGCTGAGCAGAGATGGCCAAATAAATACACCACAGGATTTTCAAGGAAAAAAAATCAAAAGTTTTCAAAGACAGTTTTTTGTTCGAACTGTGGCTAGGTGGAGAATTACAGCCACTCTACAAACTGGTTGAAAGGCAGAGAAAAGATTTGGAGAAAAGTCAATGGGGTTTTTTACCAGCTTCAGAACATCACTGTCCAGACCCCTGACTGTCCTCAGATGCAGTAGAAAATCCTATAGATCTCAGTATACGTCTTCTACCTTCTGGGCTTTAAGTCCCTCTTGTCAGTTCATCTCCAGCCTGAACCAGGCTACTAATGCTGGCCTGCCAGTAACTGACCATAAATCTTCTTTCCAAGAAATGTTTGTAAACGTGGAACAAGGACTCTCCAGCAATTTATGCTGAAAACGTATTCATTCCTCTAGCTTTTCTGGAAGGTAATGCTGAGTAGAGTGCTTCTCCCAGCATGCCCTGACAGTCTCTTCTCTGCTCCAGCCATACCCCAAACAGATGGAAAAAATTTCCACTGAATCAGGGGAGGGACTAATAAGATAATGTCTGGTTTGACCTCTTGCCTCTAAGCTGAGACATTTTATGGGGATTTTCCACTATTTCAACCTCTTCCTGGGCAAAACTGAGAAGGGACTATCAAGCTCCAGATATTGTGCATGCAGCAATTAAAAAAAAAAAAGGAGGCCAACTCTAAGGCTGAATATGACAAGTCATTTTATACCCATAACGCTACACAAGAGGAAGTAAATATTAATCAAAGTCAACACAATAAAACTACAAGAGGAAATCAGATGGGTAGAATGCAGTTAATTATGCAAACTGACTTTGGCTAGGATATTAACAGTCATAGACTTAATAAGGCTCTTTAATCAACCACAAAGGCAGAATCTGTTTTACATGTAGCTTACTTTGGTTACCATCAGGAAATTCAGTTAAGCCTTCAAACAGTCCCCTGTAATTCTTTTTGATTTTGTCCCTATAGTTGCTTAGGGAACAGAGAACTATGGGGGATTTGACGTAACATGTACCATGATCTGCAATACCCATAAACACAGCAAGAGGAATGATGGGGCCAATTTCAGCAAGCCTCATCTAAAAGGCTGTGACTTCCTGCATCTTTTGCAAGTTTCTCTTCTGCTCTTGCTCATTTCGTGGTTTCCCTTATCATGGGGGGTTGCTCTGGAAACGGGCTGCCAGCACATGGCTGGGTCTTGGCATGCTGAGAGCTCATAATACATTTGGTATTATTTTCCTCTAGTTTCAAGGTTGCTTGAGTTCTCCAGACTTCAGGTGTCTGCATTTGGAAATAATCATGAAAAAGAGAACAGTTCTTATTTTCTCTAGAAGCGCACACAGCCTGACAGCACATTTTATGGGTTCTTCTTACATGAAGCTTCCACCAAAAGAGCTGGAGACATTTTTCAAATCCAAATACCCTCTAAACTTAGATCCCAGCACTGTGGTTGGAGTCTGCCTGGAATCTGTACCATAATTATGTAGTGGGACTCCCAAATCACAGAGGAAAGGTAAGTAAAAAGAGCCGAAAGGTAGCTGACCTATAGATTTGGAGGGGGGGGACACAGGTGTTCTGGAATATGCCGATCAATGCTTCTCTTCTGATAGAAAGCCCTGTTCCTCTGTATACTCTCAAAGGCTCTAGTAATGTTACGCTTACTTGAAATACCCATTCTAGCCCATTAACATGCATTTTATGCATCAGCATAGCAAAAATATTTGTCAAGTCAGCGAACCCAGATCATTTGCCACATGGAAGATTAGCTCATTAACGAACACCATTCGCTTTAATGACCCGCATTCTGCCAATGAATCAGAAGGACACAAATGACCATCCTCTGTCAGGCAATCACAGCTTGTAAATTCATCCAGAAAAATTGTTTAGCACTTCCAAAATTTCTCATGAGCAGATGCTAGTATCTGTTAGCTATGCATATTCATTAACTTTAGCTTGTCTCTAAAGTCATAGCCATTATGCCTTATTTTGACATAGGTGTCACCTGGAGCCCTGTTCTGGAAGCTGGGTGTGTAAACCCTTAGGGACAAGCTGGTAGACACGGCACAGACTTAATTTTGAACAGTGACTTTCAGTCTATGGTTATAAGGGCTAGATCCTACGCCACGTATCAGGCATCTATGTGGACTTAGGAGCCTAAGTGTGATTTTGATCCACCCAGTTTGAGTCCCTGAAAATCCATTAACACATCTATTTTTGTAATGTTCTATCATCTTAACCTTAAAACTAAGTGACAAAAAGGCAGTAAGAGGGAAGAGGACCCACCCACTTCTTGTCTTAACTGTTTTTCAGAGACTTGAACAGTGTGGACTAGAATTGCACTTAGGCCCATAAGTCCATTTACAAGCCTAATAGGGGCCAGACTCTATTCCACAGTAGGTCTATGTGGCATCACAACCTTGGTTTAAAGCTTTTCCCAAGAAGATGTTTCCTTACAGATAACAACATAATTCCCCTCAAACTTAGAATCATGATGCTGGAAGGGATTTTAAGGGTAGTTTAGTCCAGATCCCTGCATAGATTAATAGACTGACATATTGTTAGGGGCTGGAAGGGAC